TTACAGCACATAATTCATATTGACACAAATCCAGTTGTATATGAATCCTAAGACATGCCTCTACAATTCTAATAAAGAAATCAGAAGCAAATAATGTCATTTTGAAGGTCTTAAATCATCAAACATATGAAACAGGGATGTTGTGAAAATCTGGAAACATATAGTGGACAGAACCTCAGTATATTCAATATAAATGGGGCTACAGACATGCTATTGAGGAAACTCAAAAACCAAAATGTAGCTAACTCAAATATAAACAACTTTTCTGAAGACCACATTGGCAAATATGGGCATTATCAACAGTTTTAAACACAAAGCATTTAGGTCGTAAAATCTGTCAGAATTTGATTCGGCTTACAAACAGCACTTCGGTATTTATAGTCTAAATCATGCTATAGACCTCCAATTGACCAGATTTAAAAACCTATGGATAGCCAAGAGACATAGAAACAATTGTCATGAAGACCAATTTCACATTTGAGCATGTTAGAACATCAATTGTAGACCAAACTTCGATATCATATACACAGCCGATTTTTCAGAAAAACTGCTTGCACAACATTATTATAAAAATCACACCTCATGCTACACTTATCATATTGAAATTCTTCTTACCTTGTTAGAAACCTACGCGACATTTCTACAACTTTCATTTAAAATACTAAAACAGATAAGGTCATTACAGAGGGGCGAAATCAATTAACATTTAGAACCACCTTTCTGCCAAAATCATAAACTCACCTCATGCATTTCCTACATCATTTAAACACAAACCGAGCTACAGTCATCATCTTAGCATAAATTTTACCTCATCAGAAAGCTTAGAAATAGATCTACAACTTTCATGAAGATCACATTTTCATTTGAGCACATCAAAATGCAACAAACAGGCCAAACAATAAATACACACATGCTGCCGGAATTTGTTAAAAACTGCTTGTGTGACAATTTTGTAAAAATCATAACTTTCTCATTTCAAGTCGGATTTTCGAAATTCAAAAACTCGCAGAACCACAATCATATAAAGAACATAATTTTATAAAACGAGTATTTCACGCCCTTTTCAGAAACACAACAGAGCAGTAATTTTTCACGATTAACATCACATGTGAAATACCAACTTCATGATTTCCACAAAACAACAGTTAAGCATCTCTTAACATCGTCACAGCATCTTAAGTCCCTTAAAACTTCATTATTACACACATAAACATATGAGAAATTTACATTTAACATGCTTGCAATAAGACCTTAACTCAACATCATAGAACATCCCAACAAACACATATATACACACATATTAACCTTATCATTAAATAAATCAAAAATCCCTCAATAATACACATAAAAATTCATAAGGCGAAGGGTACAAGCCATCATGTACCGTCCTCGGGATTACTACGCGAAAATGAGTCGAGAGAAGGGCTGGATGGGTGCAGCCGCGCGGTGCTCGGGCTCGACGAGTTGCGCGTCTCGGCTCGGTAACTTCGCGTGACTCGTTCGTGGCTCGCGGGGGTGGCCTGAGGTGACAAGGTAAGCCAACAGTGGGGTCGGTAATCACTCACGACAATGGCTGGTGGTGGCGGCGTCTCTTCTTCCTTCTGGTGAGAAAGTGAACGAGAGCGAGGGTGAAGAGAGAGCGATCGATTCCTCTCTCTTTTTTTTTTATGCGAGAGAGAAGAGATTGAGAGATGGTGGCGATCGATCTGAGGGGAGAGAGAGAGAGAGAGATGTTGCGCGAGGAAAAGAAAAATAGAGAGGAAGGGAAGAAAAATCTCATGGTTTTATATATTTAGGGTATAAGTCTTTCCCAACAAGAAAATAAAAGCGGGTCGGGTCGTCGGGCTCACGGGTCGGCCGGTTTTTGGGCTGGTTCGGCGCGTGGGCCGGTTTCTCAGGCGCGACACTTAACGAATATGTATATTCGAGGCTCGGAAAAATAAATATGATGACCCGAAATTTAACCAATATAAACCGACATTATTTATATATTTTTACGATACTTGGAAAAATACTACATGACCTCCTGAAAAATTTAAAATAATTAAACCTGCTTTCATACCTATACATTTATAATACACACAATATTTATTTATATTTTAATAAGCAATTAATAACAATTAAACAATTAATGAGAGCAACAATAATAATAACAATAATTCCACAATTATCCGAAAATCCAAACAAATGAACGGGCTAATTCCGAATTACGCGATTTAACCGAAATCGCGAAACGACGAACGTTTAAAAATAAAATGATTGAGTACTTAAACCTATAGTTTAAGTACCTCACAACCAATATAATAAATATAATCTCAAAAATAAAATTCAATAAATATAATAATCCGAGAAATCTTATAAATCGAACGGGGCGCTACAAAACGGCAATAATACTGACTTGAATGAAACACATATTCGAGGGGTAAGACAACGACGACTCAGAAAACCCCAAAATGAGAACTCCAAATAACAAGATAATATACACAGCAATAAGGCTCGATTTAAACGACGAGAGAGTTCCAAAAATTCCAGAATCATAATCCGACGAACAAAACCATAATACGAGCCGATAACCAACAAATAAACGAGCACGATATAATCAACGAATAATCACGAAATAATCGAACGATATCCAACCCGAACAACCATTTACGAGAAGGTGTTGATCGAAGAATACCTTTCTTCGGGTTCAGTTGAAAAACCGGACGAACGGAACCTCGAAAGCTCGACGAACGGCTCGACGGTGGCTATTCGCAAACGGAAAGCGACGTTGACCTCGACGAAGGACTACTGCTGCTGAGGAGGACGGTCGCGGTTGAAACACGATGAATGGATCAAGCCGAAGGTGGTCGCCGGAATTAATGGTGAGGAGCTGTTGTGACGGGCTGCGCTGGAAACGGAGTGCTCGACAATTGCGGACAGCGGCTATTTTCTGAGAAGGGCGGGGTGGTCGTCGACGGCAAGGGATGCTCGGAGGTGTCTCGCCGGAAGCGAAGGTGTGAACAGTATTTTCAGGCGCCGATTGATTTTTTTTAGAGCAGGCTGCGATTTAAGATGAGGGATGGAAGTTTGAAATTTGAAGTTGTTAACTCCTCCTGAGATATATGAAGGTGACAAACGTGGGAGGAAAATCTCACGAAAGGATCGCAACCAAAATCTAATCTGATGAGGAAGATGGACCTGGTCGTACGGAAAAGGGGAAGGAATATCTCCTCTGCTCACAATATCACGTGCGAGAACAAGAAAAGGAAAAAAAAAATGAAATTGGGCTAAAATAATTCACTACATTGGGCCAAAGTAAACAATCATTTTGGGGGCCAAAGTAAACAATCATTTTGGGCTGGAATTATTTGACTCAAGGGATGAAAATAAATGCTAATTGGGCCGATTATAAACAACATAGGACTTGAATTAAAATAAAAAGGGCTGGAATTTCACATAAATTGGGTCAAAAATAATATAATCGAGCCAAAATATATCCCGATAAAATGAGCCGAAAGGAACGACGAGATAACAATAATTCCCTATCGATTCGATTGAGGACAAATAAAATTACACGACTTATTATATTAATTCGACTACATCTAATTAAATAATAATAAGCCTAAACGGAAAGATGTCGAGAAATAATACAATATGGACAATTAATTCAAATAATAATAATAATGTCAATAAATAATATTCGAACGAGGCACTACAATTAGACTTGATTAATAATTATCATGGTATTTGGGTACATTTGACTTAGAGATTTTGAGATACCTTATTATTTATTAACTTTGATTATGAGTTAACATTTGAGAAGTTGAGATCCCATAGTTATCTGAGTAGGTGGCATGAGTTAAGTTTCAAAATTTAGTATGTCTAGAAGAAAAAGTTTCCCTGTAATGCCTTAGGTAAAAACGAAAATCATTTTAATTATGAAAAACTTAGAATTTTCAAAAGATAAGTAAGAGGATGCTAGAGTTTTTGTTAATCAGTTAGCCTTGCCGGCTTTGGAGGTAGAGCAATGATTTGCTTCTCCCAACTTACTCTTGTCCTGCTCATAGTTAAGGTGATGTGGTATTAGGGTGAATTACAATCGGAAGGAGACCCCTTCAGACTTAAACGTAACAACGGTTGGTCAACGATTTGTTTAGCTTAAGTTATTAATATAATTTGTTAGTT